AATACACTGAAAAGTCAACTAAATATAAAGTATAAATTTAAATTTTTGTCGGATTAATTTGTATTTTATTCAAATCAAATTATTTTTATTTTTTTGTGAAATTATTATTAAAAACAAATAAAATATTTAAAAATTTAACACTTAAATAATGATGTGTTACCATAGTTATTATTTTTATGTTGCGAGTTTAGAAATAGAATAGTTTAGAAATGTTTGACAGGTTTTGATGTCATCAGTAAATATGGCCAAAAACGTAGAATTTACTGTAGAATTTCTTCACATTTAAAGCCATGAAAGGACATTTTATACTGTAACTATGACTATTTGTACCCTTTTACCTAATACTTTTATATAAGACGTATTACAGAACACTGTACGCATAAATAAAATAAAACATTATCCATGTTTTCAGACAAGAAAACTGTAGTTTACCAACCAGTCATTCCGTGAAATTCCAATCCAATTTAAAGTACCTAATAAAGATAGACCAATAGTTAAAACTTGTGTAAAATTACATTTACGTAAATTCATTCGTAAATAAAGGAGTAAAACAACTAAGTAACCAAAATACTGATTTTGAAACAAATTATTGTAGTGACTTCAGACATTTTAAAATTTACTAATAATTAAAGTTAAATGTTAGCATATTAGCTAATTGCATTATTTTTATATGTTTCTATGTTTCATTATTAATACTTTTTAATCTCGCATTTAATGTTAATTAATAATGTAAAAGTATATAAAATATTAAGAAACTTAAATCAATTGACTTAATAAAGTGATAAAAATATATAAGTAAACCAAAAGTCCTTTGTTAATTACGAAAATTTTATCGAAAAATAAGTGAAAGAAAGGTTATTGCTGTGAAAATAAAGTAGTTGAAGTTTGATACGAACACCTGTTAAAACATCCTGTGGTGTTTTATCATACATAAAAAAACCATCGTTTAAAAGGGTGGCACCCGATTTTTAAAATCCCTAGATAATTTGCATATTGGAATAAAATAAGCATGGGAACAGTCACGGAACGACGGCTCTACGGCAGTAAGCCTCTATTCGTCTGCTGGCAGGCTATTGAAGGGTATATTTAAATCACATAAACATATTAGAAATGGTATACAATGGTAAAAAAAAAAATTTTTCCTGAAGACGTTTTAAACTTCACAAGTCATTGCAGCTACATTAAGTGAAAGTTTAGCGATGTCAGGCCTATGTGTTTTAGATTAAGGAGACCAAAGTAAATTTCGCCTTTAAATGTAATAAAACTATGTACACGTTAGTTGTGATGTAAAAATATTTATAACGTGGTCGGTTTTCGTTTCGTGTATCGTTAAAATACATAATATATCAGTTTGGTTATTTGGCCGGAAACGACTCTTTGCCCTCTTGTCTTTCTTTTATTTCCATTTATACCATTAGTGTCGTACTAGTTGTAAATGTAGATGTACTGTGAATATATGCGCACTGCATAATCATAGGTAACGACAATATTTAACTTATTGACCCTTGGAAACTTGAGACATCATAATTTAATCTTATTCGACGTGTTTTATTTTTATTCTTTTCATGTATACTGTAGTAGTATAACGTCATATTATACATCAATTCACGTTGTAATGTATAATTCTAAATACTTACACTCTTTTTCAGTGAATTTTCAATGTCCTAAACGATTTATAATTAATACAAATGTTTGTGTATTTTTTATTAAATTATTCTTTGATAACTAAATTCTGTTTACGGTCATCTGAATTATTATACTCTTGGTTAGTGTATATTTCTTTTGTAATAATTGTAAAAAAAAAAGAAAATAACAAATTATTCTTATAAACAAAATGTTCACAGTTTGTATTATTACGTAAACGTTAAAAGATATCTGAAAAATACTACGTTTTTGAGCATAAAATAAACTATTTGTTACACGAGTAATATGTAGTAACGTCTTAAAAAAATTTGAACACTTTCTGCTGGCACCACCGGAAGGTCATTGTACCAATTTACGGCCTCGCTACTTGTGGTGTGGTGAATTCATAATTCGGTTCGGCTAGCACCGTCTTTGGACTATATACATTATAAGGTATAACGTATAACATCCTTGGTCCTTCGGTCTGGTTCACACGATATAAAATGCATAATATCATAATCTTTTATATTATGAAGGAACGCTAAGTAAAATACTAAAACACGATATTATAATGTACTAGTATATAATTAAAATTTTATATATTTGTGACAAACGTTAAAAAAATGGAGTTGGTGAACTACGATAATCGGAACAAAGACCAATATAACTGTGTTAATAAGTTGAAATATGTATGTAAATGAATCATACTCGATATCCTTGATAATACACAATTATATAATATGATATATTAAAAATACGTGTAATTTTGGTCTTTACCTTGTGTTTATAATTTAATTTTTTAAAACAATTGTTATTCAATTTCTAAAAATTAGTTTGTACTAATCAAATTCAACTTTCATCTACATACCTATACTCACTGAACTATTTTAATTGTTTTTATCGAAATTATTAAATTTAAAAACTGTATGTATAATAAACGGTCAGTAAAAAAATTTTAAATAAAATATAACCAGACGATTAAATAAATCAAACAAAACAAAAACTATTATCTAGTTGATATTGTTATAATTTTATGCAAAAGATAAATATGAGTGCTTAAAATGTATTATGTCCTCGATCAAGAAATATAAAACTGTAGTCGCAATGGCCGCTACAACATTGTGTGTTGTCAAGAGATTGAATTACCTTTCGCTTTTTAGTCCTTGATTTTGGCTATTTACTGTGATGACAGGTCACGTAAGACTGCATTTGGGGGGACGAGTGTTCATGTATTTGGATGTCCGTTTAAACGGTAACCATCCCATAAATAGTCATAGAATATGTGATAGTCAGAAACTTTGAAAAGCTGTATAACACGTGCTGTACTAATTATTTCATTTCGATTTTTTTTTTTCAAATAATGAAACTTGATTACAAAATAAAACAAAATATGTGTACAATTAACGAGTATTAACACCAAATATCGACATAAAACCGGTCAAGGTACATAAATAAGCTCTCAACAAACATCCTTTAAGAACCGTTCACTTTTTAAGTTGTTGCAATGATAATAAAAGTTTGTTATATGTATATTAATATATAATATATAATGTATGTATAATATATTATACATACATACCTACAGTGTTCGTTTGTTTCAAATAATATTATAAAGATTATTGGATTTAATTATATAACTATTACGTTTATTTTTCGATATATTTGATTAGTATTAACTTTAATTGTTAACATTTTAATTATTTTAAGTGATTTAATTAAAATTATTTTTTAGGAGTACAAGTATCATAGGTTCGTCAATAACTCATATATTATAATTGAGTCCGGGAAAGCTATAAATTCTTCAAAAAAGTTATAAAAAAAAAAAACCAAAAATAATAACATAAAAATCAAAAAAAAAAAAATTGGTGAAATGTCTGCCATTTATTTATATTCTTGCCAAACATCTAGTTAGGTATATCTTAGTTTTTCCCATTTAGTTATACAAAAAATTAACGAACAAACTATAAAACATATTTTTACATTTATTTTATTTTTTGTGTTTATTTTTTTTTAATTATTATTTTAATATCTTATAAAATATATAATTTCGTGGGCGTTCTGTAGATGCTATAAATATATGAAAATCTGTCGGTAAATTTACCGACAGATTATATTATATTTTATTATATATTAATATTATATAATATTTTCGAATTTTTTTGTACCGTGTTTATAGAAGTAGGTACTTACAATATCCGTGAAACGCACCATCGCCCTAGTCGTATTATAGTGTGCTTGTGGTATAGATGATTTTCTTTCTATGCTTCAGCCTTTTCACACGCACTGTACTTACTGTACACGGTTCAATGGCCCGACTCTGCCATTGAGGAGGAGGACGAGTAATCACAAACCACGCGCAAAAACATCGTAGCCTATTGGTTCCCACTCGACTTGTCACGTTACTATTATTAATATTATTATTATTACTGTTATTATTATTATTTTTATTATTATTATTATTATTATTGTTTTGATTGTGTTATTGTGGACTGGTTATCTACTTTTGTGTGGTTCTTTTTTTAGTTTTTTGTTTTATTGTTTATGTGATCGTTATCGACATCGGATGCGAACTTTCAGTCAACCGGAAGTTATTAAACCTTCTCTCCCCTTAAAAATAAAATTTCATTTTTGGAGTGTTGCCGTCACACAGCTCACATACGCTCTAGAATTTATTATAACTAATTAACGAATACAAATCGTTATGACCTCTAATTCGATTGCATATTATTAATCTTTATGACTGACTAATATTGCGAAGTAATACAAATTCGACTTTGTTTTATTATTAACTAAAGTCAGTGAATTCTAAATATATTTTAATGATTATTATATTTTTGCTATTTTCATTATTATTATTATTCCAAAATTAGTATTTAGGTAGTGATTATTATTCTTAACATAAAATCGTACATAGTAGATTATAATTGAGTCTATAAAGTTCTACAAAATATGTTATTGAGTTTATTGACAATTTCGTGAAAGGTACAATTTAATTCAAGGTATTGAAAAGTTCAAGATATCAACTTTCGATATAAGAATACTGTGTTATTATGATTAATATATTTTAATCTTTTAAATTTTAACATATTTAAACCATAGGTACTGCAATTCAGTATATGAAAATATAACTATGTCATTTAATTAATAAGATGTTCAGCCGACAAAAAGTATAATTTATTTATCGTATAATTCTTAATTGTGCATATTTATATAGGTGTGGAAAACATTTAAAAATATTTATAATTTTATATAGTTTATCACAGTATATAATTATTTATTTTATTTTATTTATATAATATCGCTTAACATTTTAATAAAATATTATTTGATTAGTATTGATTTATTATTTACAGACCATGATTAATTTTTGTTTTTAGTTCGACACTTACGTCAAGTCACTGAATATTGAACCACAAGCGCCTATGTTTCGAATAGTTACAGATGGTCAACTTCCGATCCGGCAATGCTTACATCGGGAAGCTTCTATAAAAGACATCGAACTACCCGAATATTATAACGTATTCCATGACCTCCGGAAAGATTTTTCCAAATTTTACAATGCACCCCAAGATCAAACATTCAACTCAATTACAGATCTGGTTAATTGTATCCTTTCATAAAACACATAGAAAATCTATATAATAATATATTCTAAATTTACATCGGTAAGCTGATAAAGCTGAAGGTAAGTGCAGTGTGTTTATGATGTGTTGATACATGGTATTCGGGAAACGAGTTTTACTTGTTTTATTAATCCTAATTTTACGAGCCACATTTTTTACGGATCGTCAAAACGAGACTTTTTTTTATCTTTTAACTAAATACATAACTCTGGTAGTATCAGGTTTTTAAATAATACTAAAATGTATTATTATTTTTAACAAACATTTATGAGTAAAAAGCAAATTAAGATGTTAAGATATTGAAACATAAATTGATAAATAGTGGCTCAGTCTTGTTGATAATAAAACAATATGTATACATTATTATTGCACAATTAAAATACTCGTATTATTTATTTTTTGGTATCAAAAGATTGAAAATCTTCTAAGGTTCTTTACTAATTTTCCATGTAGTTAATAGTATATAGTATTATCTATTTTTATTCGGAATCATGTTAAAGAATTATTTGCTTCATTATAGATATACTTTTTAAATATTATTTATTGAAGGTATTTCATATTTTATTTATTCATATTTAGCCGACTATTAGACGGCGTAAATACCGCAACACTTATTACACTTTATATAAAATCGTGAAAATTTTATTACAATTCTAGATATAATGAATAACTAAAATTTCTGAAAAATTAACAGGATTATTTTTAAAAATTTAATTTTACTTTTAATTATTTTATGGAGTTTTCGTATATACTATAAATATGCATGACTGTAACATTTTAGCATTGATTATGGATATTATATCCATAATCAATGATTTTAGGTTCATACGAATTAATAATATAAAACATCGATTAATCTATTTGATTATATAATTTTGCTTTTTTTTTTTTTTTTAATCATTAAAACAACCAAAAAAAATTCTAAGAAATATAGATTTTTTGGTGCAAATTTAATCAATTGTGTGAAATACAATTTGCATATTATTTAGTACTATTTTCACCATTACAGACACAGATACTAGAAACGATTTATTCGATTAGATTTCAATTTATTCCATTATTCTTTTCTTCACTTTTTAGATTACTAATTAAGTCTTAAAAATAATTTGCTTACATTATTAAAAATTAAAAATTTTGCAATCAATGTAATTTTTTTTTTTATGTTAAATTTGTGTCATAGACTTGTATAAATAATAAAAATACTTTATTAATAGTTTTGGCATTGTTTAAATTTTTTTTAAAATAAATAACATTAATTTACTTCATAATATTACTTGTACCCAGATTAGTAAACCAAAGGAGGTTTAGGGGTTCAACCCCTTCCTGAAATTCAGGAAAATTATTAAATATATTTTTGTAGAAAAAAGTGGTTTATAGATAATATAAGTATGAAAATATAAACCTCCCCCAACACGTCTGTTTATACGTATTACTTGATTGGATTACCTTCTTACTTTCTGTATTTATTGTTCTATGTATAACACATATGAGCTTAATTTGTAAAGATACATAAAGTACTAACATATTACAAATTCGTATTTAATAATTTCGTTCAATTTTTCATATTTTCGTTACTACGAAAAAGTTAAGTTTTTTTAATGTTTTACAGTCTTACCATTTTCTTATGTATGTATACAATTTGAAAAAATCATAATAACCTATATAATAGCAGTATTTACTAAATAACATAGAGAAAATTGAATATAGTAGTTGTGTTTTTAATTTATTATTTAAATATATTCTATTAATTACTTTTATTAAAAGTGTTATGAAAGTCACAAAAGAAAGATAACTAAGTTACTTGATGTACGTTTATAGTTACTGTGTATCGATCATCGTGTTTCCTTTTTTCAATCTTATAAGCAATACAATCGTGGTATAATCTGATGTTAATATCAGTTATTTTCGCTAAAACTTCTTAGTGTGGCTAAATCAAACAATGTTTCAGCTTTTCATTAGTTTTTAACTTTTTAAACGTTTTTATTTTAAGTCTGTTTTCTTATAATACCGTCAGTGATTTTCGAAATGAACACTAAATTCTCCTCTGAGTTCATGATTTTTTCGTTTCTTTTTAATAAATTTTCTGCAAATATTTGCCGTTAAAAAGTCTTTCAGTTTGTTTGTATTATTTCTGTACAATATTTTTATTATCTCAATTTTACCTCAATAATTGTTAAAACTAAATCAAAAGTATCATTGTGATTACTCCGTTTCTATATTTTTTAGGCAACTCTATAACCATCCATGTACAATATTCATATTTATATTTTTATTTTAGGCACTATTAAGACATTTGTTTAGTTGAATTGCCTTAAAATAAATATTTATTTATTAGAATAATTCGATATTGAATTAATAAGTTAGTTCAATATTTTTAAGATAAAAATAATTTTTATGTACTTAATTTTATTATTCGATAAAAAAAACTTAACCATTTTTTTCAAATGGGTCATTTATGTGTATATTGTCTTATTTTGTATTATTTTTCGTTAGCTATCCGAGAATAAAACCCACAAAAAAATTACAACCAAATAAATAAATAAAATTTGAAACACTTATTTTTTGTATCCAATATACCTATAGGGTTTGTGTGATTGTGAAAAGTATAAATCAGATCTGACACAAAATTCCTATATATAATTCCTTTATAATCGATTGCAACATAATTTAGATTGACTGATAACCGATGTTGTACTGGTTTAGTACAATTGTTAAAAACACAACACAAAATAAAAAATAAGTACTCACCAAATTATTTCATATTAGATGTAACAAAAGTAATGATTGAAAGAAATATAAGGTAAATTTTTTATTAAATTGTATTCATTCTTATAGAATCTTATATGTCTATTATTATTGTGTTATTTATACAGTATGTAATGTGTATGAAATATAAATATATAAGATTAAACTCATCTAGACAATACTTTCATTAATACTTTATGTATCTATACTAATTTTGCTTTTAAATGAATACGGTTTTATTTATTCACCTTTTTATGTTAAGGAATTTTATAGTGCTATGACTTGATACCAAGACTTTAAAAGTAAAACTTTTTCGTGAATTCCGCTAGGTAATTGGTTTTCTTTGTGTACCGTTTGAAAAAATTACATTTAAGTATTAAAATAGTATTGATGTTGTTCGTAATTATAATTTAACTTATCACAAATAAATCATTAATTAAAACATTTTTAACTAAGTTTTTATAAGTTATTCAAATGTAGTCATTTTTCATTTCATATTTATTCAATTTTTATTCGATGTACTAAATGCCCAAAGGTCTTCATTTATTATTTATTTAATATTTAAATATTTCATTTCTAGATCAGCTGTATATTAAACACAAATTTGAATAAAATTATATTGTTATATAAATCAATTAGCCTCTTAAATTAAAATTATACATGCTTGCCATATTCTAAAAATAAAATATGTAACTGGTTCATTTAGTGCATTTAAAAATCAGTTACTAGACAGTGCATAGTTTCCAGTCATACCATATTTTTCTATGAAATAAAAACTCTTGAATTTTTACCATATCATCTAGAAAAAAAATTATAATATAAGTCGTCTATGCCCTAGATGTCTAGGGTTATTAGCAATACACAATGAATTCATTAGTTTTGATAAAAATAAATTATTGTGTATTCTCGTTGCTACTGTTCATTAATTTAATTCATACACGATTTAAAATTTCGTTTTCAAATATCTAAAATTATATACAACAAAAAAAACGGCTACACACGAATTGCGTCCAGAAAAAAAAGAAGTAGAAAATTGTTTTAATGACGATATTGTATTAATTTTACCCAAAGATAAAAAAATACAGCAATTTTCGATTATATATACATTTAGCCTGATTGTGAACACCCACTTTCTATGTAGGCAATGTATTCATGTTCTATAATTCAAACTACAAATAATTGTGAAGCCTTCCACTCCAAATTTAAAAGTATGTTTACTCAGCATACCTGAATATATTCCAATTCATAGATGTTTTAAAAAATGTTCATAAAGAAACTTTTATTAAACAACAAAGTATTCGTATAACTAAAAACAGACGGATGATGGTATGTGAAAAAGAAGATATTATTAAATAATCTTCTTTTTCAAAATATGGCAAAATATGAAAAAGGCCAATTAATCCGTCTTGATTATAATTAAGCTTTTACAATTTTTTTTAATTTATTATTTATAATTTTTTTTATTATTATTTATTTTAATTATTATATTACATTCCTTTAATTTAAACATACACATTTTCATTTTACTTATTTCTAATAGCATAACAACGATAAAAATTAATATATTTTTAACCTGCTGATACTCATAATATGCTATCGACAGTTCTAAATCTGTATAAAATAGGAAGGAAAAAAGTTTTTTTTTTTTTTTGGGAGGCGATTCATGTGAAAAAGTGATTTCGGGATGCAATTCATGTGCAGCACAAAAATACATTACGTAAGTAACATGTACTTCCCATAAGGGTCACTGAGATTATCTGAGGACTGAATTGATAAAAATAAATTATGATAGTCGTCCCTTCAGTGTATGTAATAAATTAATAATTATATTCTTGAACCGACTTTGAAGTACATCTGTTGTCTAGTATACATTTTAAAATATAGATACAATTGATTCAAATGTAATTCAGTGAATTCAAATAAAGATAGTTTTCGTGTAATGTCCATTGTTATTAATTACTGTAATCTCATCACATTTCGTTTACTATTTAAAATTAATGTTTAAAAATTGGTTGTATTGCATCTTCGAGTTTTCAATTTTAATGACACAATCTATCAACTTAGATTATGGTTACCGAATATTTTCATTAATATTTACGTTGCTTTTTTAATCTGCTGTAATATCATCGAATGTCTTAGACTTTGTTATATTATTAATCATTTTTAAGTTTTAATATTTTTTATTATTAACGATCTATAGTTTCAATTTGTACTTAAAATGTAACAAATAAATAATTG